TATATTCCCCTGGAACTAGAATTATAGGTGGTTAGCTGTGAGTTGCCTGCCAAGGATGCTGATCCTTTGGGACAGCAGGAAGCACTCTGAAACAGCAAACCATGTTTCTAGTCCCTCATGTGTATGTTTTGATTTTGATTAACATTCAGCAAGCCGCTATTTTCATCAGTCAGTCAGAGAAAACTTCTTGTGATTTCCTTCACAGTATAATGGAAAACCGTGTTTTATGGATTTTGTTGGATTTTTCTGTCTAAAAAACACTTATAACCAAGGAACTGGTTAAAATATTTCTGGAGGCTGATGAACTGAATTACTTAACTTTGTTATGTAAGGGAGATTAAAATGTGCTCATTAAGGAAATGGTCTGAGGTCAAGCCACCTGGCTTCAAAGTCCTGCCCAAAGGAAATCTTTTGACTTTAGGAAGACCAGTTTCCCTTCCTATTCTCCAGATTGCTACTATGTAAAATGGGGGTAATAGGAACTTCTGTGAACAGGAATGGGGTAATAGGAATTCCTGTTGCACACAGGTGTGAGGACTCTGAGTTTACACTGCCTACTTAAAGCTGGGTCGTATGTGGTGATCACCGTGGAGCTGATCATGATGATAGTCTTCTGCGTTTCTGTTGTGAGAAGTACTTGTGATAGGTGAGAGACAGTGATAAAGTACCACTATTAAATTGTCACGAGTGTCCTTTTCATAACAGGAGGTAGTGTTACAACATTCTGGAAGGAATGTTCACAAACTGAAGTGGATTCCTAAGAAGAAATGATATCCTGGGTACATTTCGCTTAAAGAAAAGACAGACTAGGGACGGCTCAGTTCGACATCTTGTGTAAGGGTAGAGATGGCTCCATCAGATGTCTTGTATGAGGGGACTTGAAACAGATATTGGAAGCTTAGTGAGGGCACACACACCAGTATTCCTGAGCTTTCAAGGCTGAGAAAGGATCATTACTGCAGGTTTAAGCCAGCTGGTTGGGCAATGCAGTGAGTTCCAAGGCTGGCCTGGGCTGCAGAGTGAAACTCTGTTTTAATAACACAGATGAAAATAAGCAAACAGCAACTGAAACAAATCAACCAGGTTCCCAGAACCTCACAAAAAGAAAACCGACATTTAGAGTACCCACCAGTCAGAACGTGAATGAAGTATTTTCACCTTTTGAAATTTGTTGAAGTTACTATACAATTTTACAAGGTTTGTCAAATTCCAGGGTCAGCCTGTTAGACTTTGACATAATTCTGCAATACTTCCAGGCTGAGAATAATTTTCCTTAAAAGAGGGAAAGAATAGTTGAGGAATGTCTTCCCCATGGCACTGTAAATCCATCTGTGGAGACTTTGGAGGTGACCCTTGGTAAAGGACAGTTAGCACAGGATCACAGGTCTAGCAAAAAAGACAAGTCACTGTTAACAAAATGTGAGCATGAATTTGTTATGCAGTCCTGGCCCTAATGATAGCAGTTCCAGATGTTCTCCACATGGAGTTGACACGCATATCCTTCATTTTAAAGCCCCTGGATTATGAAGAAAATCGTCAGGTAACCCTAGAGATCGGCGTGAACAACGAAGCTCCGTTTATCAGAGACGTTGCAAGCCGAGTACCCACCATGAACCGGGCCTTGGTTACAGTTCATGTGAAGGACCAGGATGAGGGGCCAGAATGCAACCCCCCTGAACAATATGTGCGGATCAAAGAAAACTCAGCCGTGGGGTCCAAGATCAATGGCTACAAGGCCTATGATCCTGAAACCAAGAACAGCAATGGCTTAAGGTATACAAATCTGGCAGCCATGGGCTAATGCAGTTGTCGTAATTGAAATGGGCGGCTTATTTTGAGACGTGTTCTGATGCCAAAGACTTATAAAATTTCATTTTATTAACAGATACAAAAAATTGCAGGATCCTAAAGAATGGGTCAGCATTGAAGAAGTTTCAGGTCTGCTGACAATATCAAAAACCCTAGACAGAGAATCCATGGCTCCAAGAAATGACTTGTATAATATTACAGTCATGGCAATAGACCAAGGTAACAAAGTTTTAATTTAGTATTTTATAATAGAATGGAAGAATAAGTTGGAATTATTTTTGTGCAGAGTTAATCTTGTGTTAACTATACATAATTCTTGAAAATTAACTTGTGGAAGCTCTCTTCTTGTTCTACGGGATGACTTTGTAAGAAGATACCATTTATTTCTGGCTTTGTTTGGTTGGTTTGTTTTCTGATAAGGGGGTATTATGTAACCAAAGCTGCTTTTGAATTCACAGTGTAGCCAACGATGATCTTTATTTTTCCTGATTTCCTGCCTGAGCATCCTGAATGCTATGATCTCAGACTTGCACCCCACACTCAGAAGGATGCTTTTGTTGTCGTTGTCACAATCTTACTCTGTAGTCCAAGATGGCCTCAAGCCCACTGTGTAACTCAGGCTGGTCTTGAAACTGTGGCAGTTATCCTCTTTAGCTTACTCTGTGCTGTGTTTATAAAGTGTGAGCCATCATCCTCAATTAAATAACACATCTTTTATTTATCTTTATATTCCATCTGCAGGAACTTAGTTCTTGCACAGTTTGTGGGAAAGGGCAATGATCGAATCTAACCTTATGGCACTATGCAACTGTCACCTCAGATTCCTCTACATAGCTTTGTGTCACTTTACCTAGAGGTTTTTACTCATTCAGGTGATTGCTAAATGTTTCTAAACATGAATTCTGGTTTTAAAGTAAATTTCCTATACCTGTGGCTTTAATTTAAATAACAATAATTTCAAAATGTACATTTTACCTTGTACTCCTTGAAATAGAATCTTTGGTTGTGACCCCTGGGTGTAACATACTAAAACCTCCTTACTTGTTTGAATGTGTCCTGGGATTAGAATAATATTTCTATAACCACTTCATCATGGCTCATTAACGTTCATAAACCCAAGGAAAGAGAGCTTGCAATTCAGCATTTGTTTCTATTATTTATATTAACTCAGACAAAAATGTTTGTTGAAACTTGTATCTGTTATTATCAGCAGCAGGAACCATATTAGATAATTCATTTGTATTCTTATTTGCTATTCATCTAATAACCAAAGATTATGTTTTCAGGAAAAATAGATTCAAGTTGTACCACTCCTGAGTATATACGCTCAGGACTTTAAGTCAACATACCACAAAGCAACCCATGTATCCATGTTCATTGCTGCACAGTAACAGGGAAATAGAAACAGTTTAGATGGGCATCAAGGAAAAAATAGATAAAGAAAACATGGTAATACACAAGTTGGATTTCATGTCTCTGCAAAGAAAAACGAAGTAGCAATATTTGCAGGTAATGGACACAACTGGAAATCATGTTAAGAGAAACAAACTAGACTTGGAAAGACAAACGACACATTTTGTCTCATTTATATGACCTAGACTTAAAATTATATATTTGTATATATATAAAAATAGAGGTTGAGTCAGGCTCTGGTGGCACTCGGGAAGCAGAGGCAGGTGGATCCCTGTAAGTTTGAGGCCAGGTTGGTCTACAGAGCAAGTTCCAGGATGGGCCCCAAAGCTACACAGGGAAACCCTGTCTCAAAAAACCAAAAAAAATTAAAATAAAATAAAATAAAAATGGAGAAGAGATTGAAATTTATTTTCCTCATCGGAGACTCTAAAACAAGAACATGAGAACTGCACTCAGCCTTATCCCTTTCCCTTCACAGAGGGTAAGTCATGCACAGGAACACTCGCAGTGAACATCGAGGATGTGAATGACAATGCTCCAGAAATCCTTCAAGATTATCTTGTCATCTGCAAGCCAAAGATGGGGTATACGGACATTTCAGCTGTCGATCCTGATGAGCCTGTCCATGGCCCTCCCTTTCGGTTCAACTTGGCAAGCTCTTCTCCTGAAGTCAACAGAATCTGGACCCTCAACCCAGTTAATGGTATTCCAGAAAAATAACGATTCATATGATTTGATGTAGCAGATTAACTACATATTAATTTACATAAAGTACAATGCAAAAGTTTAGGATAGTAAATAGCCTTTTCCAATGTATGTGCTTGTGTGTGCATCTATGTGTGTGTATGTGTGTATGCATCTCTCTCTGTAGTGTCTGTGTGTATGTGTCTGAGTGCATGTGCATGCGCACACCATGGGTGTGCATATCAATAGATCAATAGAGTCTAAAAGAGGGTGTCATATTGTCAGATTCCCTGTAGCTGGAGTTACCGGAAGTTGTGAGCTGTCCAGTATAAGTGCGGGGAACTAAACTCTGGCCCTCAGGAAAAGCAGTAAATTTTCTCAACCATGGAGCTATCTCTCCAACTTCTGATGCTGTATTTTTTCATGCTACTAAGCTTTATGTTACACTGTCATTTCTACCTACAAAAATCACCTTCACTGTGTCTTGGTTTTATACTAATATAACTGAACGCAGAGAAGCTGCAGACCCTGGGTGTTTGCATAGGGATGAGTCAGGCAGGCACTACCTCAGCTCAGATGCTCGACCTCTGAGAACTCACCTCAGAAATATAAGGAGAGCCCAGGGACCTGTTGTATCATGTGTTATAACACCTCATACCTTGTATGACTGCTGTTTACCAACTCTCTTCTCACAGCGTTCGTAATCCATATTCTCACTTTCAGCACTGAGCCCAGTGCCTAGCAGCTAATAACTACTTAAAAAGTGATTGCTTAGGCAATGTTTTGATTAAAAAACACATGCATATAGGCAAAAAAAATCACAATAGGGAAATGAGTAACTTAGTAGCATCTGGGTTTAGAAGACTTTCTCAGGAATGCTGAGTCTTTGGGTATTAGAAAGGTGAAGTTAGGTGGTAGTGAGTCTTGTGTCCCCAGCTGAGGAGACTGATCTTTGTATGGTAGGTGACAGTGGAGTATGCATTGGGACTGTGGAAAGAAGGTCATTCTTTGTTTAGATGTATGTCTTGTACAGATAACAGTAGTGTCAGGAGATAATGAGAAGAGGGCAGAGATGATTGATAAGGAAAACACAAGGTCGTTGAACTACTGTGCTGTATGACATGACTATGGTTTGGCCAGTGGTCTTGGAAAGGTCAGTGATTGCCCCATCTTTCCTTGGACACTGCTGGTGCTGATGTGTTTCAATATAATCCGAGACCTATTCACAGTCCTCTAGCAAGTGTTCCGGTCCAAGGTACAGCCCAAATCCCAAAGTTCTATCAGGCAATGAACCTATAAAAATTCTAGGTGCTTCCTGGGCTATGTTTTATGCCACTGTGACATCATTTTTGTCTATTATAAAAGCCCAAGAATGTTATAATTGCCACTAAACATCTATAGAGCTTTGGTTAATTAAGAATAACATTATTTAAATAATCTATCAAGACAATTGTGGCATGTTGACTATTATAGTTGATAAAAACAAAGTATTATGATGCAAATGGTTATATTTTTATAGGAGAAAGTAGTATAATTAGCTCTTGTAGGGAGGTTATTTCCACACAAGGCATTAATCATATAGGAAGTACTATGCTCTTCGAAATATTGCCTTTTCCAGAGGATTCATGGACAGACAACAGAAGGTAAATGGCTTAGAGTGTGAAAACTGAGTGCTCTCTGTGTATCTCCAGGTATAGATTCTTAAATAGCATATGATCTGGAATTGGGGAAAATTTTGACCTTCTACATTACGAGCCAAACTATTTTTCTTATTCTGTGTTGATCAGGGGAAATTATTGCTGGAATGTTGTTAGAGCAACATTCTATGCCTGATTGTTATTGTTAAATTTTATTATTCCTTTTGCCTTTTGAAATAAGATCTTACTATATAGCTTGGGCTAACCTAAAATTCACTGTCCCCTTTTGCCCTCCTTAGTTTCACATGCTAGGAATTCAGGTGTGCATTTTTTACTTGGATCTCAAAAAATTATTCATTAAGGCTTTCTTTAATAGAACTACAAGGAGAAATATGTCTAAGGTAAAAAATTAGTTCTTGAAAGGGTGAAAGGCATCGAGGCAGCCTCCTTTGCATTTATTTTTAATTTGGCAGGTGGGTGTTTTACAATAAGAATGGCGGAACAGATCTTAAGGCAAGAATAATCATCATTACAAACAATATTGGACTAGCGAGAGTTCAGTCTGTAAAGTGACTGTCACGCAAGCGCGAGGACCCAGTCCAGTCCCCAGAACCCACATGAGCAACCAGGGTAGGGCAGTACCAGTTTGCAATCCTAGTCCTGGTGCTGGGCAGGAGACAGGGGGATCCCCAGGCGTGGTGGCCAGCAGGCCTAGCTTAACCTGCGCTTGCTCGGCAATGAAAGTGCCTAACTCAAAACTCAAGGCGGTCAGTTCCTGGGGAATAATACCTGAGGTTCTTATGGGATCTTGAAATGTGAGCACACAGATGTGCACCACTCTCCACCCGAAATCAATCAATCAAAGTGAAGTCTGTTTATTTTCTTAAAGATACAGCCGCCCGCTTGTCCTATCGGAAAAACGCTGAAGTTCAAGAATACGCCGTTCCTGTCACTGTACAAGACAGAGCAGGACAATCCACAACCAAAGTCTTGCGAGTTAACCTGTGTGATTGTACTCATCCGAGCCAGTGTACGGCCAGGTCAAGGAGTGTAGGGGTCTCCTTGGGGAAGTGGGCCATCCTTGCCATCCTGCTGGGCATCGCGCTGCTCTTTTGTAAGTACTTTCACCCACTTGAAGTTAAATGCAAAATAAAAGATCTTGCTATAGAAGAGGCTCTTGAGAAGTAAATACAGACAAGGGTCCCTTGAGTTAGTTCCTTTTACAAGTTGCCCTGTATTCTGGGGTAGCTGAGTTGTGCCTGGATAGTCACCCTTTGAAGGAACAACGATCCTTTCTGAGATAGGTTTAACACTTGGACAGATTGTTAAAAAGTCTTTAGTTTGCTTAATTCTGCTCCCCTTTTCTCATTTAAAGGGACAGTGGCAGTAACTTATTCTAACTCAGTTAATAGCTGATTGAGCTAATGATATGAAATTGTTAGATTAGAACATTCTAAATTTCGAACATACATTTATTATTTTTTTATTGACCCAATGCAGTAACTGTGTCTCGAAAGACTACTGAATTTCAGAAAATGCTATACTAGGTAGGATTCATTGCAGAGCAAAACAGACAAAAACAAACAACAAAATGGAACCAAAAATGTTAACAATCACCAAAAAAATATTTTTGACAGGAAGAAAAGGTTGGAGTCCAGTAGGCAGACTCATTCATACTGGTGTGTATGTGTGAGGTCGTCGGTCCTGGTAGTTACATGTTTCAAGATCACTAGGTCATGCCTACATGGCATGATTTTGGGGAGTCAGCAGTGTTTGCACGGCCAGGGAGAATACAGTTGGAGGCAAAAGTCAAGTCAAAGGCTGTATGGTGAGGTTATGGCTAGAGAAGTCAGTGAATGGCGTGGAGGCTCCTGTGTCTAGACAGAAGTAGTTGAGGTCAAGGGGATCAGAAAACACAGCCAGAAGGTAGTGTAGAGAGGGGAAGGGAGGCACGGCTGTCTTTCAAGGGACAGACGGTACATATCTCAGAGCTGTCTGGGCCACTTGAAATCTGTGATATCTGTAATAGGAAGGCCGTTGCTGTGTTCCCTCAGCACTTCAAATCTGAAGGCTAAAATTTGAATTTCCTGTAATTTGGTGTTTGCATTTTTCTTTTGGTTTGGTTTTGTTGCTGTTTTGTTTGCTTTGGAGACAGAATCTCACTTTCATGTCCTAGCTGCCCTGGAACTCACTATGTAGACTAGACTGGCCTTGAACTCACAAAGATCTGTCTGCCTCTGCCTCCCGAGTTCTGGGATTAAAGACAGCTACCACTGTGCTCAGTTTCCTATAATTTTAATATCATGAATTATTCCTATCTTTGTTTATTTCTCTTTTATTAACTTAAGGCTTAAAAATCTTAGGTCATGGGTTATACTAAAACATACAGTGAGCTGGAATTGTAGCCATGACTTGACAATATGCTAGCAGGTCTTCTGAACCACTGCAAATCATGGCTATTATTGTTGCTTTAGTGATCCCATTATTCTAAGCCTCCTATTATTACCATGTAGGATAAAATTCTAAGTAAGATACAAAATATGCTTAATTATGTTTATTGGAGACAAGACTGAGAAAAAGTCTTTTTTTAATTTTCCAATTGAAAAACTGATATTTTGGGAATCAGAAAATATCTTTAGTGTTTGACTTAAATAAATGTTAGACACTTTTTTATTCCCCCCTCCCCATTGGGACTTTTAAGATCTACAGTTGAAGTCATGATTCTAAACACTCTCCCATGTGATTATTGCACATTTCAGACTGTGCATGTGAACCTAGCAAGACGAGGATAATTTGATCGAAGGCAGAATTAATATTCTCATTGTTTTCTTGTGGCTCAAGACATAAGCAATAAAGATTGGTTATTTTTGTATGTAGGGCAAATGAAGTATGTCCTTTTAAAACTTTATTTCTTCTTCTATTTTTACTTAGCGGTACTGCTCACTTTAGTATGTAGCGTTGTCACTGCCCGGAAAGGAAAACATTTTCCTGAAGATTTAGCACAGCAAAACTTAATTATATCAAACACTGAAGCACCTGGAGACGACAGGGTGGTAAGTAACTTCCTTGGTGAATAATTGTTTCTATAGTTTTAAAATGCATCCCTGTGAAGTTATTTAGGAGTCAATTTATATTTGTAAGTCGTTGGGATCTTGTAGATTGTAAGTCGACTTGGGACTCTCAGTGTCCCAGCCATTATGGAGTGGTACTTATTGAAGTTTACCTTGCTGTTCTATTTTTCCACTCTTTGTTGTATTAATTCAAACTTAGTCTATGTTGGGAATGATTACAAGAGTAATCACTCTGACTGCTTTCTGCAATGTGTGACATTCTTTGAGCCCCCACTGTTGTCTTGTTTTATTATAATGAAGTGCTCAGCCAATGGATTCACCACCCAGACTGCCAACAACTCCGGCCAAGGCTTCTGTGGCACCATGAGAAACGGTGGGCAGGAGACATATGAGATGAAAGGACACCAGACCTTAGACTCCTGCCGCGTGGCCGGCCATCACCACACCCTGGATTCCGGCCGAGGAGGGCACATGGAGACTGACAACTGCAGATACACTTACTCCGAGTGGCACAGTTTCACTCAGCCCCGGCTTGGCGAAGTGAGTGTCCCTAGAGGGTTTACTGTGAAGTAGAGAACTATAGGACACTGATAATGTAAATTTCCAGAAGCTGCTTTGCCAGTGTTTCATGTGTCTTCCCTTGTGAGGTCTAGTCGTTTTTTTAAAAATGCCTTGATTTTGTTACATTTAATCTTTCAATATTTTGATTCCTCTGTCGCATTTACTCTGTTTCTAGAATCTTATGAGAATCAGGGACTTCTGATATCTGTCTTTAAATACTCACTTTTCAGTGTACAACTGTCTTATAAATCCCTTTGAGAAGAATATGAAGATAAATGTTAGTTTCTCAAAAATACATTATTTACCAAATCAAACTTGTACTTTGCTATGAAAACATAAACATCCGAATGCAGTTTTAGGTTAGATATTAACATGTTTTACTTAGGCCATACATTAACTTTTAAAAATTATTTTATTGTTCTGCTGTATTCTAAATGGACTAGCTATTGTTGCTCATATTTATACGGTGTGGTGAGTGGCCACATAGCTATTCAGTGTAGAATGGCTAAAGAACCCAGTGGGTGAGGACATTTGAAACTTATTCTTAGTAATTTTGAAACATAGAAAACACTATCATAGGAATTCTTTTCAACTCACAAAGCGGACCATGCACATGTAAAGTGTGTCCTGTCATCTAGAGAGGGCAGTCCTGGGAAAGAGAGGGGTAAGTGAGCAGCTTGGTCTACACCAGCACGGGAAAGCTCTTAGAAACGCTAATGCCTTTGCTTCATTCTGGAAGACTCTAGTTTCACTGAAGTGTGTGCGCGTACACGACATTTCACATGTGATTTGTGTGTTGGGCCAGGGTAGGGGATCCTGTTTGAGCATTCTTGCTGGCATGAATGTCTTTCCCAGAGGGCACTGGTGTCTTTGGAGCAAACACTGTATCAGATGCCTTTAGTTTTGGGATGGACAAAACACGAGCAATATTCTAAAAGAGGGCTTTCAGTTATTGCACGTCCGCGGCATTTGTTTTATTTTTATTTCGTCCTATTCAAGTGGTTTCATGATTTGTATTTGCAGCCTGCATGCACGTAAGATTATGCTAAGGGACAGAGCTCCAGATACTTTCTTAGGAACAACCTGTAATGGGAGGCGTGGGTGGCAGCCGGCCAGAGCTGAGGGCTAGGGGAGGACTGCTCTCGCAGGTCAGCAGAGGGAGCCCTGCCTTTGGAAGACAGGCCAGTGGGACCCTGTAGAGCAGAGGTGTGTCTGCCTCCGTGTGTCTGCCCAAAGCCTGCTGCTTTATAGTGAAAGCATGGTTTCTGCAGTGTGCGTTAAGCTGATGATTTTAGTTTTAGTGATTTTTCTGGTGATATATCTCTGGCTTTTGGCTACTTTGGAGTGCAGTAACTTTTTAAGTGTATTGCACACAATAGAGGTTGAGTTTGTATCCACTGTACACTGCTGGGCATAAGAAGCAGGCTTTCAAGCACTGCATTTCCATCATTAGTTTCCAAAATAATGAAGGGGCATTGGAGGAGAATGTAATTTAAAGTGACACAAGTTAGTAAACTCAAGCTACTCAAAACTGGGACCATTTGATAGCCACATACAAATTCCAACCACTTGGCATATTGTCTCCATTTCGTAAACGGACCTCAACTATAGACATAACATCTGGGGATAAAGATCTCATGATGACTTAAATGTATGTAGATATAACAGTTGTAAACCTGTTTTTTTATTTTTGTGGATTATTAAAAATGCAAACTATACTGATTTATGATATGGCTGTAATATAGACCAATCATGTGCATTTTTTGTGTGTAGGACTCCATTAGAGGACACACTGGTTAAAAATTAAACATAAAAGGTAAATAAAATAATTTTTCTGTTCATAATTGAAGTTGTTTAAAGAAATAATACAATCCTGTTTTTTGGACTTTACAGAAACTGCACGTGTGTAATCAGAACGAAGAGCACATGCCATCCCAAGACTACGTCCTCACCTATAACTACGAAGGCAGGGGGTCTCCAGCAGGTTCTGTAGGCTGCTGCAGCGAAAAGCAGGAAGAAGAGGGTCTGGACTTTTTAAACAACTTGGAACCCAAATTTCTTACATTGGCAGAAACATGCACAAAGAGATAATGCCACCGGGTTACAATCAGACATGGCCTCTGCAGTTGTCCCCGGCATTTGAAACGAAAAGACTGTAAAATAGAGTTTATATTCACTCAGATTGCTCTGGAGTTATGCTGGCTTGTGATACTGTAGCCCAGGCTGGCCTCGAACTCGTGATCCTCCTGCCTCTGCCTCCTTCAGCAAATCCTACCGGTGTGAGCCACCACTACCGGCTGGCTTGTGATATTGTGACTTTAGTCTAGTGTGCAATTGACACATATTCAGGAGAAAGTGTTTGAGGAGTTCTGATCTTTTTTAGACTGGCTGTGTGCTGTGTTTAATCTTCCTGCCACGCTCAACAGGGCAGTGAGCTGCAGTTCCTAGTCTGCCACAGGTCCTGACCCTGGCAGTCTGTTGTGCACACATCTCGCATCTCCACTGAGAGTTTCTACGATACGGCTGCATCGTGAGCCAAGGAGTGTGTGCATATATAATGAATTTTTCTACATTTTACAGTCTTCCCCCTAGTAATTTGCATTGTTAAAGTGGTTTGTTGCTGACCGCTTTTCTAAAAGCACAAGTGTTAAAACAGAGAACCAGCAAACCTCACACTGCAGTACTGGAGTTAGCTGAGGTCTGTAAAGGACCCACCCTGCCCTGAAGGTATTTACCTAACAAATTAATTGGGTAAAACAGTCTAAAAACAGCTAAGTTGTACCAATATTGAAGCACCACACACTCATAAAAATGGCTTAAGAAATGAGCAAAACATTAAGCAACACTATTTGAAGAATGTTTTAGGAATAATTAATACTAAATTACAGAAAACCTTTTGCAAAGCTGATGATCTAGCAGCTGCCTCTCTCCGATTTCACTAGCAAATACTCTACCGGACTTGGGAAACAAAACTTGGCCAACTAGTCTACTGTGCTGCAGTTCCTTTATTTCGGCGGAGTCTGAAGCCAGTGGGCGTTCCTACAAAGTGCACAGCAGAGCAGCATTTCAAATGCAGCGTAAACAAAGAGGAAAATGGCAAGGATCCAAGACAAGACTGGGTGTGGCTCACCTTGTAACAGGAAATCGGGGGTTTTAAAGGGGCAGTCTTGCTCCTGCCTGGTTACATGAATGTATCAGCCCATGCCTGCCTGTATAATTTGTTTAAATTCAGAAATATAGATTCGACTTTTAGTGGGAAAGAAAGAGATAGGCACATGGAAGAATGGATTCCCTTTGCAGGATATATAAAAACTTGTACTCACAAATATTAGAAGCTGCCCCTCTGTCCCCTACTGCTGGGACTCACAGCTTGCTGGTGGGGTGTTGGCAGAAATGACATGGCTTTCTTGGGACCTAGTGCTGATCTTTGCTGAAGTTACATACATCCTCCATCACCCTTTTCTTGTTTCTTCCTTTTTCCCCTCTTCCTTCTCTTTGTTTTGTTTTTTTGGGGTAGCTCTTCATAAGCCAGACTGGCCTTAAACTCACAGGCCTTCTGCTCAGTCTCTGTATACTACAATTACAGGCAGATGGCACCACTGTTGTTCTCAATGCAGAGCAAATTGGTCTTAACTTTAAGTTCGGAGACTTTGGGAGAGGGTTGATACCAGTCCAGAAGCCCAGGCCTCTTGGATTCCTTTCCCTGTCTGCCAAAGCTGCTTGAATGAACGGCAACAGATTCACCTAGGTGGCAAATCGTCTAGAAACTCAATCATCCTTCAGTGTGAGTGAGGTTTCTATCAGTTTGCTTTGTTAGGGGGAGTTTCTCAGGACAGAAGTTAGGGTGCATGGAAGGAAGAGATCAAACTCTCATTTAGGGAGGACAAACTGATGGAGCATTTTGGTGTTCAGAGACAAACCTGCAGGCCAGGAGGGAAGTGAAGCCAGCAGGCCGGTGAACAGCCAAGGTGTTTGCATTTCCCCATTTCTCACCCTGCATTTTCTTCTTGCTCTGAAGACAATATAGCTGCCGTTTAGTTTGGTGAAGCATCAGGCAAGCCATTGTTAAGACCTCTTCTTATTTGGAATGCAGTGGCAGGAAAGAAGGCTATGAAGCGGATGTAGCTCAGTCAGCTGCATGCATTCTCGCCAGGCAGGAGCAAAGCCCAGGATTTGATTCCAAGCACTGTATAAAACAAGCATGGTTTCAGCATTTGAAAAGTGAGGCAGGAGGATCAAGAAAGTTCATGGATCTCTATAGTTATATGAGAAGCTTGAGGCCAGCTTGGGCTACATGTGGGGAGTCTTTGAAAGGGCCTGAACTGCTGTGCCGACCAGACACAGGCTCCACGAGAAAACCCTTAGTCCTTCTCCAGCAACACTAAGGTCTTCAGTTACATGTGTATCTAAGATTCTGATTTGATTTTACATTTTTCATGTTTTCATTTTTCCCTGAGAGTCATTTTCTTGGTAGACTTTTGAAACTGTTATTTTCCCCCATAGCATCATATGGTATTATTCTTTCCTTATATGTATAAGGTGAAAATTGTGCTATTCTCGTGTGTAAGAAAAACAGCCTGCTTTTTTTTAAACGCTTTCATCCCCCCCCACCCAGGTTTTTATGCCATTGTACAGATCATTTTTTCTTACATTTACATTTATAAGGAAGTAGGTAACTGTCTAACGAGCAATTGAAGTTTATTTTTCAATGTTTTAAACAATCTTAATTTGACAATTAAATTGCTTTTGAAACTTGTCAGATAGAAATAAGCATGTATTGAATATGTAAAATAATAGTTCTTATTAAAGAAGGTAATAAAGCAATGCTAAATTGATTTCCTGTCTTTGCTGTATGTAGAGACTAAAGGATCGAAGGTGCTAACACTGCAACCTCAAAACATTGAGTTTCAGGCTAGCAAGACAATCAAAATACTCCACAGCGTCTGGGAAATTCATGGTGTGGTTGTGGTTGCAGAGATGACATACCTGTAAAAAATGTGATATTGGGAACCAATAATTGCTCTTAACGACTGTGCTATAGCTCCAGCCCCTTTTAGCACTTGGTATAGAAATTTACTACTAGGAGAATAAAGGAGCAGTACTTTTGAGACTGGAATGCACTGACATTCTTTCTACCCTTCACACAAAGAAGCTGTTAGAAAATAGGATTCAGAGAGGCAAACTCTTTCCCAGTGTGTTTTCGACTTTGCTGTTGGGCAAGGCACATTCCTCCTGAGTTGTGCTGGCAGGGAGGCTGGTGTTCTGCCTTTACTTGTGGCCCTGTCTTCCCACAGCTTTTTTTCAAGTATCTACAAGTGAGAATGGGACACATCCTTCAATGACTCAGACTTCTCCATTCTCAAGACACAGACAGGATGAACACACCAACAGTGAGTGCCAGGACGCATGGCGTTTGCTATGCCCAGATCCGTGAAGCTCCCCGAAAACTAAAAGCAAAGAGCCTTTATTTTATACAAGCTTGCAAACTCGGTCTCTTCATGTGTTCAACGTATTGGAATAATCTGAGACTCCCAGCTCAGTTAGAGTTGGGTTTTCATAGTAGTAAAGGTGGGGGTGAGGGATTTCTAAGGTTAAGGACCCTTGAATGGCTGACATTTGTCTAGCGGTGTCCTAGTGAGTGTGTGTTGAAAGGTGATCCTATCTACAATGGTTGGAATGTTAGGAATTTCCTTTGGGAATGGTCTGTTCTTGAGTGGTGCCTGGGTGATCTCAGTTTGTGGTCCTTCCTGCAACCAGGTCTTGCTTCAGGGTAAACTACTGAGACTCAGGCCTCCATTAAACTCAGGCTGAGTCCTGCACTGGCAGGTGATAATGGCTGGGAGTTAAGGACTTCTTTGGGTGGTCTGTTCCTATTAAGCTTATCATGGTTGGCTGAGTCCTACACTTCCCCCTTCACAAGCACTGATGACAGGACCCAGTAATGGGCCCTGCTTGCCCATGGTTTTAAGGAGGTACTAGTGGGACCTAAGAACCATTTTAGTTAATAAATCCATTAATTGACAACTTTGGAGCTATTTTTCTGGCATATCAACAGGCACTATAGGTAGTTATCTTGTCCTCCATGTCAGAGAATTTCCCCTTGTCCCATCCTTTCAACCTATTCTGTGCAGGAAGCATGGAATGACATGTTAGGTCAGTCTTTTCCAAGTCCCTCTTCCACAGGAAAATAATTCTTTTTTTTTTTTTTTTTTACCTTATTGGCTAAGACTGTAAGACTGCTGCTTTGGATACTTCCGCCTCCAATGCTATGGAGACCTGGGTGTGACTAACTGTATATGGACTCTGATCCCTATCAATTTTAATAGATTTGGAAACTACTTGGTCTTGTACTAAGATAAATAAAGATATACTTTATTTATCCTTCTGGGACATCTGATAGTATTGATAGCCATGCCAGTTATAATGGCAGTTTAGTAGCAAAAGTTATCCAGATCCTTCCACAAAGCTATATTCACAAAGTTATAGATAGTTTGTTAGCTCATTCCAAAAATACTAGGTCTCTTAAAAATGTTTTAAGGTCTGAGGATACAAAAGTTCCTAAGCTTTGAGGGTCAAAAAATTGACTTAAGATGCAAATACAGGTTAAGATATGGAAAATGTTTCTGATTTCTTCCCCCTCTATGGTATAATTCTAATAAGGTGATAGAGCATTGACTACTTACTGTTTGGGTCACAAACTCAAGATTTTAGATTTATTCTAGTTGCCATTTAAATATGTACTAAAGGTGTTTCTCATCAGGCCAAAGGCATTTCTGTCCAAACCATGCATGGTTCTTTGGACAGCAGAAAAATACACATGCTTTTAACCAAAATCTGTAGTTTTTGCTAGGACTCAAAGGTATGAGTCTATTTTTTCTGTTTACAGATACCCATTGAAATGGAGTAATAAAAATGCTGCAGGATCCCCAGCAGTGGCAGGCAGCAGAAACATTGCAGGTCCCCAAGTGGTGTCATTGGGGCATGTGGCAACAGGCAGTGGGCCCTGAGAGCAGCCAGTCCTAGGCAGAGACGGCTACAGGTCCCTGAGCTGTGGCTGGTCCAGGGCAGGGAGACATGCGGGCGGGGGGGGGGGGGGGGGGGGGGGGGGGGGGGGGAGGGGGGGGGGGGGGGGGGGGTATTGCCTGCTCTTCCAGGGGGGGGGGGGGGGGGGGGGGGGGAGGAAGAGACAGAGACATGGATAGGCACGCCATGCAGAGTGAGGTTGGATATTTATTCAGTGGGTTATGGAGGGGAAAGGGAGAAGGGGAGAAGAGCAGAGAGAGAGAGGGAAAGAGAGAGGGGAGAGAGAGAAGGGAGAGACAGAAGAAGGGAAGGGGAGATGTGGGGAGAGGCAGAAGCTGCCTCTTCGAGATGGAGATGGAAAAGAGAGGGAACTCAGGCTGGAAGCTGAAGATCAGCCCTTCTCAGCAGACAGGGGAGGGAGGGGCGTGGCTTGTCTCTTAAAGAGACAGAATAGATCATTACACCCGTTATCTGATTTTTTTCTACAATGTGGATTTTTTTTAAGTACATAAATTTTAACTTCTGTTCCTAGTTTAAACTTATCTCGATAGGCTTCCACTTGGCTGGCAGACACAACTAAGCATTAGTTGCTGACTACAACCTCCTCTGAATGGTGGCCAGCCCTGAACTTCCTAAAAGCTGATGTGGACCAGTCCAGCTGATATGAACACTCCCTGTCCCTTCAATGAAGTCTGATGAGTTCCCCATTGCCTGAATTCCCTCACTACCTTTGGCTAGCCTTTCAACCTACTCAGGCCCTGATAACAACGACTCAATGTCAGCTTGAAGTAGTTGCAGAAAAAAACATGTTCATCCCATGCTCCCTGCCCAGAATACGCTGAAAGGTTAGGACAAGGGGGAACTCCCTGGCATGGGGGACAAAATAACTACCTATAGGTGCCTGTTGATATACCAGAAAAATAGGCCTAAAGTTGTCAATTAATGGATTATTAACTAAAATAGTTCTTAGGTCTCAATAATACCTCCTTAAAGCCATGGGCAAGCAGGGCCCTTGACTGGGTCCTATCATTGGTGCTTGTGAAGGGGGAAGTGTAGGACTCAGCCAACCATGATGGGCTTAATAGTTACAGACCACCCAAAGGAAGTTCTTAACTCCCAGCCATTATCACCTGCCAGTGTAGGACTGAGTTTAATGGAGGCCTGCATCTCAGTAGTTTACCCTGAAGCAAGATCTGGTTGCAGGAAGGACCACAAACTGAGATTAATCAGGCACTACCCAAGAACCGACCTTCAGGGGTACCTTCAGAGACCAAAGTGTACATCAGTTCCCTGGAGCTGGAGTTGCAGGGGGTTGTAAGCCATCGAGCAGGGATCCTGGGAACTGAACTCTGGTCCTCTGAAACAGTAACTAGCATTTTTGCCTACTGAGCCATCTCTCCAGCCCGAGAAGAAGGCATCTATCTGTTCTCTTAGGCAGTATTTTTCACTGGCCCATTCTAATAGATGCAGTAAGATTCCACGGGGAACACTTGCTCTTACATTCTGACACTTTTTATGTAGATGTTTGCTATTTTCCTTTCATAATGTTTTATGCTGTGATAAAAAATATATGCACATTAATTTTGTTAAAAGATAGGCTTCAATTTTACCTTTAATGGTTTCGATTCTTTTATGTATGCAATCTGCATCTCCCCTGTGAAACTGAATTACTGGTTAGAGAGCTGTTATAACTGAAATTATGCCTGAGAACCATGTCTACTTCTCTGATGTGCGATCTGCTGGAAGTTAAGGACAATCTTACAGATTATACTTGTTACACTGGAGTGGTTTTTTAAAAATATGAATCATCATGGACAAGTTACAGCAGACATATAATAATGTAAGTTTACTTGGGGAAATGCCATTCTAAAAGGCCCCAAGCATCCCTGACCTAGAAAGAGAGTCCAGAGATAAAAACAATGGTACATTTTTAAAATGTATTTATTTGCATCAAGCTGGTTTAGTACATTTTGCCCTGGTAGCATGCACAGCATGTCTGAGTCTAAGAAGGCAGAAACCTGCAGCTTGCAGGACTGGTCTGCAGTTGAAAGTCCACACAGTTGTGCTACAGTCATTCATTATGATGAA